AGGACACCAATCTATACCACAAGTTTTCCAGGATCGACAGGTCTCTGATGTTCTTTTGCTTCCCAGCGAGGCTTTAAAGTAAAAAATCCTAGCACAGAGATCCAGGGACCAACAAAAAAAAAAAAACCAAACTTGTTGCTGTCAAGTTGATTCCGACTCATTGTGACCCTATAGGACAGAGTAGAACTGCCCCATAGGGTTTCAAGGAGTGGCTGGTGGATTCAAACTGCTGACCTTTTGGTTCGCAGCCAAGCTCTCAATCACTGCTCCGAGAAAGAAAGCGTATTACACAGAGAAGGAGTGCAATCCTACTTACTTGCCTTACTGTTTTCTTCAATACTGGCTGTGTACACATTTTTTGTAAATACTGGTGGATTATCGTTTATGTCCATAACTTTGACTCTAAGCTCAAGAGGCCGTTCTAAATCTTCACCCCGTGAATTCAGAGCCCGGCAATATATCTGTGGGAAGTTGGAAAAAACTGTCTTTCTCAACCAAAGGAAATTAAGAAACATGCTTGAAAATATATAAGGGAACGTACAAGTTTCCTGTGAACCCAACTATATTCCAAAAACTCATTGCTGTAGAGTCAATTCTAACTCATAGCAACCCTATAAGACAGAGTAGAACTGCTCCATAGGGTTTCCAAGGAGTGCCTGGTGGATTCAAACTGCTGACCTTTTGGTTAGCAGCTGAACTCTTAACCACTGTGCCACCTAGGTTTCCAACTATATTCTAGTCTAGAAATTGAAATATCATCAAATTATTCGATGACATGCAAATGCAACACATCAAAGTTCCTACAGTACAAACTCTTACGTTTTCACATTCTTTCCATTCCTTCAAACCCTTTATTTGGTTTCAGTCTACCATGTTTTATCAAAAATAAGCAATTGTCCTGAGATGATTTTTTTTTTAAAGAAAGGGAATAAAAATAACATGAATAAATTAAAACATACTGCTATAACTTACCAGAAAAATTGGAGTTATCTCTCTGTCGACCACTGAAGTGATGTTAATTTCCCCGGTCCGAGGATTAATGGTGAACACTCCATAAGGTGGTCGATCAATCCCCACCCCAGAGATGCGATATGTAATCTTCTGGTTCACTTCACAGTCTGACCGAATCTACAAAGAAAATGACTAAGACTGTGATATAATTTAGAGCAGATCATGAACTTAAGTGTAGTGGAATGACTTTGTAGAGAATGGACCTGGTAGCATGGATTTTGGATTGAAACCAGGCACCATGATTTAGTCCTGTGTGACCTTGGAAAATTCACTTAATTTCACCAAGCACCAGTTTATAATGGCAATGATACCAATTATACAGTCATTATAAGTCAGAATTGACTGGCCAGCCACAGGTTATCTCATAGGTTTGCTGTGGGGGAATGTATGAGGTAACATGTATACAGCCCAGCCCAATTGCTGGCATATGTGACATACATGCTTGATGCGAGATTTGTTATTATTAACAACACATTGTTCAATTCTTTGATTTTCTTTGCATAGAGAAAGAGTTTGACAGAAGAAATGATAACCATTACTATTTTTTTAGAAGACTGTGTCATATTAATAAGTACTATTGGTGGATAACTTAAGAAACTCAGAAGAGAAATACAATCTTTAGAGGTATTGGTAATATTTTTATAAAATGAAACCCACTGTATCACTCTGCCAAATAGATTTTATGACAAGTAGTCTGTCATATAGATTTTGTTTTAATATTTTATATCCATTGTTCATAAATTTAAACTAATAAATTTCAAATTTTAAAATTTCACCTATAAATTAAAGATGAGAACATTCAGCAAGATACTAAGATTTGGTACTTGAGCATGCACAATTAAGTAAAGACAGCTAGAAATACATGTTTCACTGTTGTTGTTGGTAGGTGCCGTTCAGTTGATTCCAACTTACAGGGATCTCATGTAACAGAGTAGAACTGCCCATGGGGTGTTCTAGGCTGTAATCTCTACGGGAGCAGATCACCAGGTCTTTCTCCTGCGGAGCTGCTGGGTGGGTTCAAACTGCCAACTTTTCTGTTAGCAGCAGAGTGCTTAACTGTTGTGCCACCAGGGCTCCTAAACTCCATTCTAATCCAAAGATCATTTTTATATAGACAAAATCCAGGAACCCCCCCCAATAAAAATTAAAAATAGAATATGCAATTATAAATGAGATGACATAAAGCTGTAACTGTGAGTTGAATGGAAACAATAACAATTTTAAAAATTTCAAAAAATTTGAAACCTTCTCAGAGAGAATAAATCTCTGTTCTTGGGCTAAGATCAAATCTAACGTCATTGCTGATACTTATATTTCTTTTATTTTGGTAAATATATATGTAACAAAGTATTTGGCATTTCAATAGTCTTCACATGTACAGTTTAGTGACATTAATTACATTCATCATGTTTAACCATCACCTTTATTTGTTCCCAAATTATTAATACTTACTGTATTTTTAATATGAAACTGTAAGGAAGGAAATCTGGTAGATCACATTGCTATGGAAAAAGATGCTGCTGATATCATTAGTGACCCAAGGCCAAGAAGCCCCGAAAGAGCTGATGGAGCTGGAAATGTGGATCTCAAACGTCATGGATAAGTTTATTACATACTCTTCCTTTAACTCTCCCTCTGCCCTGGTGGCACAGTGGTTGAGAGCTCAGCTGCTAACTAAAAGGTCAGCAGATCGAATCCACCAGTCACTCCTTGGAAACCCTATGGGGCAGTTCTACTTTGTCCTATAGGTTCCTATGAGTCGACGGCAAAGGGTTCGGTTTTGGTTTTCTTTGTTAATGGCAATTATTTGTGAAGATCTTTAAAGACTTTCCTACTTCTTGGATGTAGGCATCTAGTGGGAACTTTTGACATTATCTTTACTTTCTTGGAATGAATTAATCAAATGCTGTAAAGCCTTCACTTTCCGGAAAAATAGTCTGCAGATATCACCACGTGCGTAAGTTTCCTATAACATATACATGAATGATGAGTAGAACACAAACAGATGGGCAAAGGAAAGTTGTGTTAGAGATCCATGTCTGTCTTCTAGGATCACCTGCCAAGGATCCTCCCCTCTGTAGCAGCCTCCCAGAACATAACAATCAAGTCAATGCCTCAGCAACATGAGCAAATGACTATAGGCAACTCATCTTTCTAAATCACTATAGAGCAGTGAAGGCTGCAAATCCTTGACATGATGGAGGGCTTTCCTGCCCTGCAAAAGCATTTGTTATCAGCACAGGATACTCTTGCTTGTTTCAATGCTTACTCTGGCAATTGGATTCCTCTTTGAGTTGTCTTCTCCTTCTCTACAGGCTGCAGCAAACTTGATCCACTCCCGCTTTTGTCTTCTGACAGCCTGCCAATTTGTAGTGCCATTTTCCACGTCTAATTCTTCCACCTTAAGAAAAAATGGTTCAAATTTCTTACAGTCTTAGAAAAATTTTACTTATAGTAAATTATCACATTAATTTAACGCTGTAATATGTATCCAGAAGGAACAATGGCATTGAGCTTGAACAAAGAAACTTTACTAGTCCACAACTGAGGGTAGATATAGCTTGGTCACCCCCAACTAACTACTTCTTTTGGAATCCTCTCATTTCTAACTATCTGATTCTAGTGAAACAAATTTCATTAGCTGTGGGTGGAATTCATAATATGTTATACTGTACAGTTTGTTGTAGTTACTCTTTTTTAAAGCTATCCTCACTTGGTAGAGGCCTTGCCTACCTCTCCCTTCATTAAACTCTGACTAGACTTTAAAGTCTCCAGAGTTCAAAAGATTGCTGGTGTTCCATGTGAGTGCATTCTGTACAAAAGTTGTGTTGGTGAGTTGTGCTCACCTAAGTGTGAAAAGGGATTTTTTCTCTTCCATTGATAAGGACACATTGAGGCTAAACATCCAAATGTATTATTATGGGATGAAAAGAATATTATTAACTGAATTGATGATACCTTCAATAATCTCACAAACACCAATTTGGCTTCGCTGTGTTGGACATTTGTATCTCTGCTGGCTATGTTTTTCCCATTGTAGGTTTACGTTGCTATTGTTGGTGGATGTTGAGGAAATTTTTACTGTTAAAGAGTTTAGAAATGTTACTACATGTATAGACGTGTGTGTGTGCGTGTATGTGTAGGTGCTGATGTATTTATTGAGTACTATTTAAGCTAAGCCTTCATTTAACTATTACTTTGGGGGAAGCATATGTTCCGTATGAGTGGAGTTTATCCTTTCAAGGACCAAAGCATTTATATGTTGCCTTATTTTGATATAACTTTCTGAAACGTACCACACATTCCCTACTTTTGTCAATTATAATAGTAATTTTATTTTTTCCTAATGTTTTAAGACCATCATAATGAAGATTTAACTACTATCATAAAATAAAGCCCTGCCAGCGATACAGAGGACAGTAGATTTATTTTCCGATCCTACTCATACTGGAACCAGATTCTCTGTTCTATTTAGTTATGACTACATATTTTTTGATTTTGTATCTTTTTCTCACGGATAGACAATTGCCTTTCTTGCTAATGTAAGAAATCCTCTTCCTTTCCATTCTAAAGCTTTACCTTGCTTCTTTTGCTTTTCTGTAGGTTGGGAAGCACATAAGTAAACTGCTAGAATACTTTGCTGAGTAGGAGTTACTAAGACATTGAGCTGTCACAAACTTTGCTATAAAAAGCATGGAAATTTGGGGGCTATGAGTTTTACCACTGCTATTTTAGTTCAGTGAAGGTTATATCTCTTACTTCTATCTGGATGACTATGGTTATAAAAATTCTGATTCTTGATATATGATGAATTACAAAATTAACTTTTTCTTTTAATTTTTGATTGAGAAAGTAGTTTATTATACATTACCTCAACAATGAATTCACTGTTTACTTCCAGCACCACCTGTTGTAGAAAGCACAACATTAGCATACATTTGCATAATCCCAAGGAAGCAAGGTACAAACATTGACAATGTTATTTATTCATTTCTTAAATATACATTTTGTTAATTATATGGAAAGTATATGGGTAATAAAAAAATAAATAATACAGATGTTTGCTTTATAGAGGCTTTTAAACTGTTAGGGAAGACAAACACGTAACTCTAGAGCAAGGCAGTTTGGGATAAGTACTACAACAGAGGCATCAATGGATTCAATGGAAGGGGAGAGCAGACAATTCAAACTACCAAAGTTAATTTTGGGAGGCCTCCTAAGAGAGTAGGAATTTGGAACGACTCTGCAGAACGATTCTGTTTTGACAGAAGGAATTGATAGGGAGGAAATTCCAGCCAGAGTAGAATAAGAACACAAATGTAAGTTTCAGAAGATATTCCAGGAAAGGTAAATAATCACATTACCTGGACAGTAGAGGAAATAGTGAGGAGCCATGGAGATAAGGTTTGGAATGTCAGATCATGAAGTGCCTTGTATACAAGGCTAAGAGGTTTGGACTTTATTGGGTAGACTGGGAGTGACAGAAGCATTATTTTTTAAACCTGTCATTGATATGAAGGGAAGATTACAAGAGGAAAGCACTCAAAATTGAGAAATTTAGGAATTTGCAATTGCTTAGGTAAGACATTGTTGGAACCTGAACATGGGTGCTGAAGTGGCCTTAGAAAAAGAGAGAATGGAGACATTACAAAAGAATTGATAAAGCTTATAGATGAGATGGTAGGAGGAGCCTTGGTGGCGCATGGCACAGTGGTTAATAGCTCGGCTGCTAACCAAAAGGTCATCTGTTCGAATCCACCAGCCACTCCTTGGAAAACTTATTGGGCAGTTCTACTCTGTCCTATAGGGTTGCTATGAGTTGGAATTGACTTGCTGGCAACAAGTTTTAGGATACAAGAGGAGAAAGAATCAGATGATTCTGGAGATTCAAGCCTGGCTTTCTGGGAGAGTGGAAGTACTATTAATAGAAACAGAGAATTCAGCAGGAAGCTCTCACTGCAGGAAAATGATGACTTAAGTTTCTTTTTTTGTTTACTTTAAATGTACTTCTAAAATTTGGGATAGAAGTGGAATCTATCCAAACAGAACTGCTATTTGAAGTAGAAGGAAATGAGGATATTAAATGTTACAATTTAAGAAGAGAAATTAAAAGGGCAGATCAGAGAAACTTGTGGAAAATGCTTACATTTGGGTAGGGGACAGAAGGAAGACATCTAAAAGCAAGGACTAAGTTTATAGAGAGGTTGAGGGATGAGGGCTGTGGGTGCAGAGCAGATTCTGTCAGTGGGGGAAGGGTCAGAAGTGGGAAAAGGGTAAGAAGTGGAGGTGGTAGTAGTGGTGGTGGTGGTGGTGGTGGTAGTGGTGGTGGTGGTGGTGGTAGTGGTGGCGGAGGTTGGTAATGAAGCCGAGTTCAGAAAGAAGAGATTAGATAAGGTGGTGGATAAGAAGTAGCCAGAAAGGAGACAGAATGAGTGGAGTGTAGTGATAAGAAGTTTGGCCAAGAGGGAAGATTTAATTGTTTAAGTGTAGTAGCAAGATCAAGGAGAATGGGAACTGAGAAGGTCCTGGCATCTTAAAGTAGGCAACCATCATTAACTTTTATGAATAACGTAAGCCAAATTACAGGAGTCAAGTACTGTATTGTTTTTGAAGAAACAGAAATAGTAATCTTGGATTACAATTCCAACAAGCTAGGAGGTAAAAGAAATGTGAGAGCTATGATGGGATCAAGGGGCCCTCCTAGAGCGGTGGTTAAGCGCTTGGCCAGTAACTGAAAAATCGACAGTTTGAACCCACCATCTGCTCGGCGGGAGAAAGATGTGGCCGTCTGCTTCCAGCCTTGGAAACCCTATGGGGCAGTTCTACTCTGTCCTATAGGGTCGCTCTGAGTCAGAATCGACTCTACAGCAATCGGTATGATGGAGATCAGGCAGTGAATTATATCACGACATATTTTCTTAGGTTGAGAATCCACGACCAAATAATCAATTTACGGGTAGAGGAAAGAGGATTTGTGAAGAAAAAGAGATACAGAAAGAAGGGAAGAAGGGAGGAGGGGAAGGAGATAAAAATCATAATTAAAGAAAAATATGTTTAAGAGAGATTAGGAATGGCTGAATCAAAAGTACCGGTAAAAGACCTATAATACTGATACTTACGCTGAAAATTAGGTACCTTAGTTTTGACCCTATGTTATGTTTCAGGAACTTTATAGTTTTAGCTTTAACATTTCGGTCTTTGATCCATTTTGAGTTAGTTTTTAAGCATGGCATGAAGTATGGATCCTGTTTCATTTTTCTGCATATGGATGTCCACTTTTTCTAGCATCATTTGCTGAGGAGACTGTTTTTTCTGCATTAAATGGACTTTGACCCTTTGTTGAAGATCAGCTGCCCATAGATGGATAGATTGACTTCTGGGTTCTCAATTCTAGTCCATTGGTCTATGCATCTGTCATTGAACCAGTACCAGGATGTTATGATTACCATGACTGGGTAGCAAGTATTGAGATCAGGAAGTGTGAGGCCTCCTGCTTTATTCTTCTTCAGTATTGCTTTAGCTATTCAGGACCTCCTTCCTTTCCATATAAAGTTGGATTAGTTTTTCCATTTCATTGAAGAAAGTTGTTGGCATTTGGATCGGGACTGCATTACATCTATAGATTGCGTTTGGTAGCATTGACATTTTCACTATGTAAAGTCTTCCAATCCATGGACATGGAGTGTTTTTCCATTTATGTAGATCACTTTTAGTTTCTTGCAGTAGTGTTTTATAGTTTTCCTTGTATAAGTCTTTTATGTCCCTGGTTGGGTTATTTTATCCTTTACAGGCTATTGTAAATGGTTTTGTTTTCTTGATTTTCTTTTCAGAATCCTCCTTGTTAGTGTGGAGGAACCCAACTGATTTTTGTGTGTTGATCTTGTACCCTGTCACTTTGCTAAATCCTTCTATTAGTTCCAGTAACTGTCTTGTGGTGTCTCTGGGATTTTCTGTGTATACGATCATGTCGTCTGTGAATATGGATAGTTTTACTTCTTCCTTTACAATTTGGATTCCTTTTATTTCCCTTTCTTGCCTTATTGCTCTAGCTAGGACTTCCAGCACAATATTGAATAAGCCTGGGGATAAAGGGCATCTTTGCCACGTTCTCAAGGGGAATGCTCTCAATCTTTCTCCATTGAGAATAATGTTGGCTGTTGGTTTTCCATATATGCCCTTAGTTATGTTGAGGAATTTCCCTTCTATTCCTATTTTGCTGAGAGTTTTTATCAGAAAGGGTGTTGGACTTTATCAGGTTTTTTTTTGCATTGATCAAGATGATCATGTAATTCTTTTCCTTTGTTTCATTTATGTGGTGAATTACACTGATTGATTTTCTAATGTTGAACCATTCTTGCATCCCTAGTATGAATCCCACTTGATCATGGTGCATTGTTTTTTTGATCAGCTGTTGAATTCTGTTAGCTAGAATTTTGTTGAGAATTTTTGCTTCTATATTCATGGAAGATATTGGTCTGTAATTTTCTTTTTTAGTGGTATCTTTGCCTGGCTTTGGTATCAGGGTTATGTTGGTTTCGCAGAATGAATTAGGGAGTATTCCTCCCTTTTCTATGTTCTAGAATAGTTTGAGTAGAATTGGTGTCAACTCTTCTCTGAATGTTTGTAGAATTCTCCAGTGAAGCTGTCTGGGCTAGGGCTTTTTTTTGGTTGGGAGTATTTTTATGACCTCATCAATTTCTTCTTTTATTGTGACTCTGTTCAGATATTCTACCTATTTGTGTCAGTTTAGGTAGTTAGTGTGTTTCTAGAAATTTGTCTGTTTCTTCTAGGTTTTCAAATTTGTTGGAGTAAAATTTTTCATAATATTCTGTTATGATCCTTTTTATTTCAGTTGGTTCTATTGTAATGTCACTCATCTCATTCATTATTTTGTTTATTTGCATTTTCTTATTTTTTCCTTCGTCAATTTGGCCAGTGATTTGTCGATTTTATTGATCCTCTCAAAGAACCAACTTCTAGTTTTGTTGATTCTTTGTATTGTTTTTCTGTTTTCTAATTCAGTTATTTCTGCTCTGATCTTTATTATTTCTTTTTTTTTTTGCTGACCGCGGGCTTCTTTTGCTGGTCTTTTTCAATTTGTTCAAGTTGTAGGGTTAAGCTATTGATTTTGGCTCTTTCTTCTTTTCTGATGTGTGCATTTATTGCTATAAATTCTCCCCCGAGCACTGCTTTTGCAGTGTCCCAAAGGTTTTGGTATGTTGTATTTTCATTCTCATTGGGTGCTAGGAATTTTTTTTATTTCTTCTATTACCCAGTAGTTTTTAAGTAAGGTATTATTCAGTTTCTACGTATTTAATTTTTTTCTCCTTGTTTTTTCTGTTATTGATTCCTAGTTTTATATAGCATTAAGATCAGAGAAGATACTTTGTATTATTTCAATATTTTTGAATTTTTTGAGGCTTGCTTTGTGGCCTAAAATATAGTCTATTCTGGAGAATGATCCATGTATGCTGGAGAAAAAATGTGTACTGTGTTGCTGTTAGGTGACATGTTCTGTATATGTCTATGAGGTCAAGTTGGTTGATTGTGTTATTTAGAACTTCTATATCTTTGTTGTGTTTTTTTCTAGTTGTTCTGTCCATCATCAAAAGTGGTGTGTTAAAGTCTCCTACTATTATTGTAGAACCATCTAGCTCCCTTTTCAATTGCAGTAGAGTTTGTTTTATGTATTTTGGAGTTGTCATTGGTGTGTAAATATTTATTATGGTTATGTTCTCTTGGTGAGTTGATCCTTTAATCATTACATAGTGTCTTTCCTTGTCTCTTATAATAGATTTTGCCTTAAAGTCTATTTTATCAGAGATTATTATTGCCAGTCCTGCTCTGTTTTGGTTACTGTTTGCTTGATATATTTTTTTCTGTTCTTTGGTTTTTAAACTATTTATGTCTTTGTGTCTAAGGTGTGTCTCTTGT